GCCTTGCGGATTGCAGTTGTTGACTCATCTACCCTAGAGAATAGAGGATCTCACCAGCTTTGTGTTTAACACCGCACAATCATAATAGATCAATGGAACTCTAAGTATTTAACATCCAGGGTAGATAAAATCACTCTGATGAGTTACTTAGTTAAGTTTAAAAATGGTGCTATGAGACATTCGGCATGTATTGGAGGAGTGTCTGCCGCTCAGGGGTCAAACCGGCCCATGTAATGACTTGCATGTTTTGCATACCGAGATTCAAGATGACTTCCCTGTTAGACGGCCACGTTCCATGAACTGACACTACTACTGGTTAAGCCTCCCATATTCGGCGCTGAGAGATCTGCATACGCAGGGGTCGCTTCTCTGCCCAGGCAAGCACCACAAAGACCCTCCTACAGCCGCATTCCCAGACGCAGGAACTGATCTAGTCTTCTTGGCAGATGAATTGCTAAGATTTCAAGACACCAGGGACAGGAGTCGTCGACTTGAAGAACCGGGATGCTCTCTACGACTAGCAAGAGAGCACTTGGGCCTCCGTTGCGTGTGGGATAGACATGTTCGAGGCAAGTCAAAACCCAGGGACTCCTAGGTTGACTAGTAACATAAAATAGAGCAGGTAGGATGAAGCCAGCCAGTAAAGTGGATAACTGTGTTGGTAACACGCTGGCAGGTTGTCTGCTCGGCGAGTGACAAGTCTGGCTGCACAGGGAAGGCATTGACCTACGACGACGAGACAGCTTTGAATTATCGATCGAGCGTCCATTTATCCACCGCAGTCGCCGCTGTATTGACTATACTACGACATAGCATCAACCTCGATTATCGATACTTGACGGTGTTAGATGGAAGGCATCCTTGATGAAACTAGACGACTCCAGAAGATAATTGTTCTCGACCACGATCGATACATAAGCGTCGACGGAAATTATTGCCAAAAAAAAAGGAACCTTTGTTGTGACATCAGATCTGTTGAGCCTCGAATTATAGAGTTCCTGCAGACGGCGAGACTCGGCTGAAAACCTCGAATCTGTCATATTCGACAGCCAACTTTCGCTTTCACATGTGAAGAATGCATCAATTGACTTTTGGAGCCTTGGGAGAGTTGAAACACCTTGAATCAACTCGATGCATCTCGGTATATCGACGCTGTGCGATTCAGGGGTTGAGTTACCGAAACCTACGAAATCCATCATTAGGCATGCCTAACAAAGAAAGCCTGGGGTGATGAGATCTTGATACGGCCACAAGCGACTTGGAAACCTTCTTTCGTGCTCGAGGTCGCCATTGAGGTCTGAAAGGAAGCAATGGCTTCGGAGGCCCTGACGATAGCACTGCTTTCGAGTGCATGTCATCCCGAAGCCTAAACGAGCCTCACTCAAAGGACCTGCATACCCAATCTCTGACAGTTTATCAAGGCTCTGAAATGCACACTCTTCGCTATTATAATGTGTTTCGATGGATTTTCGGTCGAGAATGGAGTTCGAGGGGCGCGAGTTGGATGGGATACCCATATGTTCGAGGTACGGGTGCCGATTCAGGTGCTGACAGGACCACAGAGGTTTGAACACTGCCCCTGAGTCTCGACTCATGGATTCGAACCGTATTTTCGTGTGAAGAAAGGCTTCTGCGCGTCCGAGAGTGTGCATCACCGTCAGGAGAAGGCGTCGACGCCTCTTGGTCTCGAATCAACCAAGAAACCGAAGGATCCAAAGACACTCATCTGGACTCCGAACTGCTGGCGAGAATCCCACGGCCAGACCGAAGGCAAACAATCAAGTCTTCTGGGCGCCAAGGGACTAACACTGGACACACCGGAGAATCATCTCGAGCTGGCAATTCGATATACAGCACGTGGGAGTGGCGAGTCGCCCCAGGTTGCTTGGAGGAGAAGGATCAGAACATGGTTCGAGACGGCTTAAATGATCCAAACAGGACATGCCCGACGAACCGACAGAGGCAAAGAAATCACTGAACCCGCTTCAAGGTAGCCTTGCCACTTATGGTTCTCCATCCTTGACTTTCTATGAACGAGTCTGAGCCAATGACAGGCGCACGTGGGCCTTGATAGCTTCAACACTCGCCTCCTGCACCCCAAGCCCTAGAACAAAGACCCTCTGCTTTCGTCCTGCTCATTCCCGAAAGACAGCGGGGATCCCGCTCGCTAAAGCTGCGCGCGATGGACCACCATGTTGTGTGATCATGCGAGCCATTTCCTACTTGAGATGCTATCTCGGGAAGCGGCTCACCGAAGCGGGCGGGCCCTTTCCGCCCGCCTACCCGCGCTGAGGACACCTCCCCGGTGAGCGTTCTCGTTGTAGTTTTGGATAGTGAGCTGACCTCCTATACGAAAATGCCGCGAGACAAGTCAAGGCGAGGTCAGTTCCTCAGGAGCTATTGATCGACGAGCTGACGAAACAAGTGTTTGACACCTTAAAAGCATCATCCTTGGAAATGGACATCTACAGTGTAACCTCGATTGCGCGTCTCCAACTCTATTCCAATGCAGTTTCGAGAAGGTGTCACTAAAAAAAGGATCATCAAGCTTTAGGAACACTCTTCTTCCGACGTCTCGAAACGCGGCCGTGTCGATCACAACGTAAACAGCTTGCGCGCCTCCGTTCCCCACAGGCCTTGCCGCGTCGACGTCTCATGTCTTTATTGATCGGCAGATCAAAAGATCCCATCAAACAGAGAGAATTGCGCATTTTCGCATAAAGATAATCGACGAGAACACTGGACAAAGGGGTGTGATATCAGGGGTGTGTCGTGATAAGAACGCTATTCTACTTTGGGATACCGACAAGTCGGCCGAGAAAGAGATGATGCAACGAGAAAACAGGGCAAACGACGTCTCCGCGATGGTGGAGAAGGCTTTCAGCTGGGGGAGGAGATGCGGGCGGTGGGTTGCATTCAAGGTCTCTGACAATGTTTGTTGCGACGACATGTCGCAGGCAGGACGTAGCAGTTGAACTAATTCTCAAACCTTTTCCGTTCTATTTCGAGAGCGTAAGTTTCTCATCACCGCTTGTTTTGCCGTTCTAGTGGTTTCGGCAGATGGGAAAGGAAGGATATACGCCTAGACTTTCCTACACGGTAAGGTGTCATGAATCGCTCTTGATGGAGCTCTTCAGCGGGGAGAAAGAAAAAGCACGGGGAGTTTTCGAAAGCGTGGCGGTTGTCGTTGTCGCAACGTGCTCGAGACGCGCAATCTGGGTGGTTGAGCCCATCTCAGGGATCCATAGGTATTTTCGTTTCCAAGTAGGATGCGACCATATTATGGCGGCACTTATTTTACGTGTGATTCTGTTAGTAGAATGACGGCTGTGAGTCCAAGAGTACGAGGAATGGGACCTCGACCCCACGCGCATTTTGAGCCCCCTCAAGGCCCCAGTAGCCAATCTTTCATCAATCTTCTACACGTGGGAGAGATTATTACTTCTCATTGGTCAAAAGTGACGATCCGCATTGTTGGAAAGAAGGTATGGTCCGTGCACTCTATCCGCAAGCCACCCTGATCTAGTCCTGATTTAGACAAGCGTCTTGGCTTTATCCGTGATAGAGTTGGTCTCTTTTCACATTTTTCTCCACCACCAACAAAGATTCTTCGGCCATTGTCCATCTTTTTCCCCTGCCACTTCTCCATTAGGGCACCGAGATCCAATGCATGGTGCAATCCCCATTGGTTCGCTTTCATTCCGACTGGCGTTTCGTCTAACAGCTCCTTGGCCGAAAGAGGGCACGAGTCGCGTGCTTCTCCTCTTGCTCCAGATCTCTTGCTTCCCTTGACTCTCCCGGTCGGGAAATCGTGCTCGTGCCCATGGCCAAGCAAATATGGAGATCAGCTCTCTGGCCGATGAGGTTGCGAAGAGCTCCCACGAGGGCTCGGCAAGAGGCTCCAGTATCTCTTGTCCTCGTTTTTTTCACCGATACCAAGAAACAGACCACCGAGAATACCCGCAATTAGTAGATACCAGCTTTAATTCTTGGCCATGGTCTTACGAGCAGTGGATCACAAGTAAAAATATCATCTTCTCAAGGCTTACGGAAGAGGGGAGAGAGAGAGGCAAAGTTGATGTTCCCGTTGCTAACCAGCCATCAACATCAAACCCATGTCAAAGTGGCGTACCTAGCACACGCAGACGGACCCCGGTCGTTTGGACCGCCATCGGCATCACTGCTGCATCTCCCGGTGACGGATTGGGAGTTGTGTCGCGTGCTTCTCTTGCGGTGTTTTTTCCTACTTCAATTTATCCGCGACTACTTGATACTTGATGCTCAAGGTTGGGTTGTTTGTGGAATTATGCATGGAAACAAGGTTAATGCGTGGACTCACATGTTCACGCCTATTGCTAAGCTTAATTCCACCCAAGGTCCGTTCATGGAGACGCCAGAGCGTTTCCATCAAGTTTTGGGTAATATTTAGAAAATGGAATTGGTGAAGGGATCCGCCGAATACCAAGAGATATGGTGCGGAAAAAAAGAACAGAGATGGGCTTGGGTGGATGGTCAGCATCGGTTGGATCATCATTCTACGCCCCCCCAAGGATACTTCTCCTCGACCGAGGCGTCTGTTTTGAGGAATTGCTCACGACTGGACTGTCGTTCCCACTCTTGGCGTTTTGAGGGATCCACGATGAAAAAATGCCAAGAAGCTAGGGTCCTCAGTTGAAGGCGTCGCCCCCCTCGAGAATCGTCTTGGAGAGGGATGGATGGGGCGTGTGGGCAGATGCTACCACGCTTCTCTCGCTTCCGAGAATACTGTCGAGGTTTTCGCCTTGGCTTCCCACTATACACATGTAGTATATATTCCTCCTCTTCTTCCCTCAATCTTTTCTATCCAGGTCACTCAACTCATCCACTTCCCTCCTCCTCTCTACTCTCTTCTGCCTTTGGCAAAGCAAAGAATACCACCCACGGTTTAAACCGCCTGGTGGCTTCTACCAAGCTCCTCCCTCCTCTTTACCTCCCATCTTCACTCTCAAAACACCACAGCCATGGCCGTGTTCGCTCAGTACGACTACCTCTTCGCGGTAGGCACAATCTTTGCCTTCCTCGACGCATGGAACATTGGTGCCAACGATGTGGCCAACTCATGGGCCTCGTCGGTTTCTTCCCGTTCCATCAGCTACTTCCAGGCCATGATTGGCGCCAGTATCATGGAGTTCAGCGGTGCTCTCGGCGTTGGTGGCCGAGTTGCTGATACTATCCGAACAAAGGTTGTCGATGTCGAGGCCTTTGATGAGAGCCCTGCTCTTCTCATGCTGGGCATGGTTTGCGCTGTTATTGCCTCTGCTAGCTACCTCACCTTTGCTACTCGCTTTGGTTTCCCCGTTTCTACTACTCACTCTATCCTTGGTGGTGTCCTGGGTATGGGTGTTGGTGCCCTTGGTGGCTCTGGTATCACCTGGATTGGCTACAAGGAGAACGGTTCTGTCGATATCCAGCAGGGTGTTGTTCAGGTTAGTAACTCTTTAACATCATCTCCCCCGCAGTATCGCTAATGCAGCCTCTATAGGTCTTTCTCGCCTGGATCATCGCTCCCATGCTCTCGGGTATCTTTGGCGCTCTTATCTTCCTCTTCACCAAGTACGGCGTCCTCCTCCGCAATAACCCCGCCATGAAGGGTCTCATCCTCGTCCCCTTCTACTTTTGGCTCACTGCCTCCCTGATTGTCATGCTTCTCATCTGGAAGGGTGGCTCTTACGAGGTCAACCTCACCGAGGCCCAGATTCCCGGCGTCATTGTCGCTGCTGGTGCTGCTTGGGGTCTCCTCATGGCTCTTACTCTTGTTCCTTGGCTGTACCGCGTCGTCATAAAGGAGGATTGGCAGCTCAAGGCCTACCATATCTTCCTCGGTCCCCTCCTCCTCCGCCGTGGTCCCGTTCCTCCTGCCCCCGAGAACTTCCAGGGAGTTGTTCGCAACTTCTACGAGGGACATCTCACTCGTGAGGAGCTCGAGGCCCGTCGCGCCCAGCGTGCTTCCGAGGTCAACGAGGACCTTGAGGCCAACCACGAGAAGAAGGTTGCCACTGACAACGCTTCCGAGGAAACCCCTCAGCCCACCAACACCTTCCAGCACAAGTCTCTTGTCGGCCCCAAGCCCGATGGTCCCTGGTACACTGGTGCTTTCCTGTGGTGGGCCGTCAAGTTTGCCGTCTTGCACGGTGTTGATAAGGATATTGTCAGCTCTCAAAGCGAGAAGTCTGTCGTTGCTGGTGACGTCGAGGAGATCCATGCCCGCGCCGCTCACTACGACAACCGCACCGAGTTCCTCTATACATTCCTCCAGATCATGACTGCCGCTTCTGCCTCTTTTGTCCACGGTGCCAATGACGTTGCCAACGCTGTCGGTCCTTATGCCTCCATCTACCAGATCTGGCAGTCTGGTGAGGTTCCCGGAAAGAAGGCCCAGGTTCCTCTCTGGATTCTCGCCTTTGGTGGTGCCGGTATTGTCCTTGGTCTCTGGACTTATGGCTATAACATCATGCGTAACCTTGGTAACCGTGTCACTCTCATGTCTCCTGCCCGTGGCTTCTCTATGGAGCTTGGCTCGGTCATCACTATCATCCTGGCCACTCGTCTTAGTATGTATTCCCCTGACTCACTCGACTAGACACCCTTGCTAACCACTTCAACAGAGCTGCCCGTCTCTACCACTCAGTGCATCACTGGTGCCATCGTCGGTGTTGGTCTCTGCAACGGCGACTGGCGATCCATCAACTGGCGCATGGTTGGCTGGATCTACATGGGTTGGTTTATCACTGTGCCTACTGCTGGTCTCATCTCGGGTATCCTCATGGCCTTTATCACCAACGCCCCCAACTGGAGTTAAGAGGGTTTAGAAGCATCTGTTTGCCTTGATGATTTGATATTTACGCATAACATGAGTATACCGGGATGTAGTGGTGTCCTAATTGAAGGACAACGAAGCGGTGGCTGGGACATTGCTTGATAGATATTATACCCGATAGACTATAATGACATTCTTTGAAAACATCTGGACTGATTTATGACTGCTGTGAGGTGGTCTTAGTAATGAATTGTCATATCCGAAACCTACTTATAGGCCGGCAGGGGTAAGTAGCAATGGTCAGGCAAGATCTGTTCACAAGATCTGTCACATACAAGCCTGGATCAGTTTAGAAGGAAAGGTGTTAAGGATTGACTATCTAAAAAGATGGAATATACCTAATCCCCCGTCGAATCAGCAGTACGATTGACGCTCTTCCAAAGGAATGGCACCGACTGTCCGTCGAAACTTTTACTTTTTTGCGCATCAATATCCAGAGATGGAAATTATGCGTATCCAAGCTTGTGAAAGCTTAGTAGTTGTATCGGCCCTTGCTGCAAGAACCGCAGTCGCCGTTCTTGTCACAAAGCTCAACATAGATGCCGATGTAGTAATCGCCACGGCACTGGTACTTGTCCTTGATGGCAAACGAGAACTCGTTGAGGCCCTTCTCCTGGATAGCCTGGTAAGGATAGCTCTTGTGGTGGCAGATGTTGTGACCGTCATACGAGTCATGTCCGCCGTCGCAGCCGACAAAGACGGCAGCTTTGGTGGCGGTGTACTCGTAGTTGTCCTTGAGATCGATCGAGACGATGATCTCGTTGTGATGGTCCTTCTTGACAAGCTCGATGTAGTACTTGCCGTACTTGTCGTGCTTGTCATGCTTATCATGCTTGTCGTAGTCGTGACCGCCAATCAGCTTGCCAGAGACGGACGACTTGAGGTCCTCATACTGGTAGCGGAGGTAGTGGCCATCGTGCTTCTGGCAAGTGCTGGGGTGCGAGTTGTAGGAGAGCTTCTTCAGGTCGTGAGCGTAGCGCTCGTCAATGGCATAAACCTTCTTGAGCTTGCCCTCGCAGTCGCGCTGGTAGCCGTTGTAGAACTTGACGCTTCGCTTGGGGTGGTGATGAGTGTGGTGGGACTTGGACTTGTCGCCGTGGGTTCCATCCAGGTTCTCAACAATCTTGGCAGCAGCCTTCTCGACAGCCTTCTCAACAGTCTTCTCGACCTTGGCATCGCTGTAGACAGAGGCGGAGCTGCCGCTGGAGCTGGGCTCACGCTTGTCGATCTTGACATGCTTGATCTTCTTGCTGTGGCCGGTTCCAGTGGCGACATCATTGAGGTCAACAACGGGATCGGCAGCCTGGGCAGAGGCGGCAGTCAGAGCAGCCTTGACCTTCTTGGGATCACTGAAGATCTCAACGACGGCCTTCCTGATGCTGTTGCCGACAGCAGCCTCAGCCTTCTCAACGTACTTGTCAACCCTGGCATCGCTGGGGTCGTCAAGTTCATCGACAGCCTTCCTGATGGTCTGACCAACGGCCTCCTCAGCCCTCTGGACATACCTGTCAAGCTTGGGGTCGTTGACGCTGCTGACACCGGCAAGCTCGTTGGCGTTGGCCCTGAGAGCGTTGCGAAGATTGTTGCGCTTGCTGTGACCATAGTGATGACCGTGATGACCATGCTCGTGGTGGCCGTGCTTATAACCGTGATGATCGTGATGCTCGTGATGCTTACCATGATGATCGTGGTGACCATAATGATGAGCGTGGTGGTTATGGTGCTTGTGATGATCGTTGTGACCATGGTGACCGTGATGCTCGTGATGCTTGCCATGATGATCGTAATGACCGTGATGGTGGTTAGCAAGATCGGCGAGGTGAGCATGCTCGAGGTGGTGTCCGTGGTGCTTATGGTCATGGTGGTCGTGATGCTTGTTGTGATGCTTGTTGTGGTGAGCGTGATGAGCGTGATGGCCGTGATGCTTGTGGTTATCATGATGGCCATGGTAGTTCTTGTTGTGCTCTCCTCGGAAAAGCTTCAGGAGACGGCTAGCAGCGTTATCGAGGTTCTCGATCTTGGTGGTGTCGTGGTGGTGGTGACCGTGGTGCTTGTTATGGTGATGCTTGTCGTGATGCTCGTGGTGCTTGCCGTGCTCATGATCCTTACCGTGATGCTCATAGTGCTTGCCGTGATGCTCGTGGTGCTTGCCATGATGCTCGTGGTGCTTACCGTGATGAGCATGGTGGACGTGGCCGTGATGCTTGTTGTGGTGGTCATGGTGGTCGTGGTGATGCTTGCTGTCACCCTTGAAGAGCTTATCTAGGGTCACCTTGCTAGCAGTAGCCTTGATGTTCTCAACACGCTCGTTATACACGACATCGTAATGGGGCTTCTTGTGGTGATGCGAGACATCGGATCGCTTGTAACCGTGGTGGCCGTGGTGATAGAAGTGATCGCCATGGTTATGATGACCAAAGTGGTGGCCGTGGTGGCCGTGATGATGGCCGTGATGATGACCATGGTGGTGCCCATGATGATGACCGTGGTGGTGACCATGGCGGTGGCCGTGGTGATGAACCTCAGAGTGAGAATGGCGGTGCCTGTGATGATGGTCATGATCATGCTCGTGATGGTGGCCGTGATGGTGGCCGTGGCGGTGGTTATGGTGGTTATGATGCCTGTGATGCTCCTTGTGATGATGGCCGTGGTGGTGTCCATGGCGGTGCCTATGGAGCTCATCGTGGTAATGACCGTGACGATGTCCGTGGCCGTGCCTGTGGTGCTCGTTGTGGTGGTGGCCGTGGAGATGTCCGTGGCGATGGCCGTGGAGCTCATTGTGATGATGGCCGTGACGATGTCCGTGACCGTGGCGGTGGCCGTGGAGCTCGTGATGGCGATGCTTATGGTTCTCATCGTGGTTATGGGTATCGTGGTGCTTGTGCTTGTGACCGTTCTCCAGGCCGCGGGCATGATGGGAGTGACCATGATGATGATCGTGATGGCCGAGGTGATGATGACCGTGGTGGTGGCCATGGTGGTGGCCGTGATGATGTCCGTGATGATGCTCATGACCGTGGTTATGTCCATGAAGGTGGCCGTGGTGATACTCGTGACCGTGGTGGTGACCGTGGTGGTGACCGTGGCGGTGACCGTGATGATGGCCGTGGTGATGTCCATGGTGATGACCGTGGTGATGCTCGTGGCCGTGGCCGTGCAGATGGCCGTGGTTATGCTCATGACCGTGATGATGACCGTGGTGGTGACCATTGTGGTGGCCGTGATGGTGGCCATGCAGATGGCTGTTGTGATGCTCGTGACCGTGATGATGACCATGATGATGACCGTGATGATGGCCGTTGTGGTGGCCATGATGATGCCCATCAAAGAAGTGCGTGAGATCGCCAGAGTTATGTCCATCATGGTGACCAAAATGATGTCCGTGGTGGTGGCCGAAGTGATGTCCGTGATGATGACCATCGTGATGACCAAAATGGTGACCGTGGTGACCGTGATGATGACCGTGATGACCAAAGTTGTGGCCGTCATGTCCGTGGTGATGTCCATCATGATGTCCGTGATGGTGGCCGTAGTGGTGACCATCGAAGAAGTTCTTCAGACCATAGTTGTGAGAAAAGCCGGCATCACGCTGGTGAAGGCCTCCATGCTGGTGGTGGCCGTGGTGGTAGCCCTCGTGGTGATGACCATGCTTGTTATCATGATGATGACCGTGGTGATGTCCATGCTTGTGACCGTGGTGGTGTCCATGCTCGTGGCCATGGCCATGGTGGTGGCCGTGATGATGCTTGTTGTGATGCTCATGACCGTGCTTATGGCCGTGATGATGGCCATGGTGGTGGCCATGATGATGCTTATTGTGATGCTCGTGACCGTGATGATGACCATGGTGGTGACCGTGATGGTGGCCGTGGTGCTCCTTATGATCGTGAACATGACCGTGATGATGGCCGTGATGATGACCGTGGTGATGACCGTGACCGTGCTTGTGGCCGTGAGAATGGCGGTGGCCATGATCATGATGGTGCTTGTGGTGGTGCTCATGATGATGCTCGGCATGGTGGATCTCCTTGTGCTTGTGGCCGTGATGATGGCCGTGACCATGCTTGTGATCATGATGCTCCTTATGTTGGTGATGCTCCTCATGATGGTGCTTATGTCCATGGTCGTGGTGCTCCTTATGCTCATGGTGCTCCTTGTGGAGGTGGTGCTCCTTGTGATCGTGGCCGTGCTTGTGGTCGTGATGCTCCTTGTGGTCATGATGCTCCTTGTGATAATGTCCATGCTTGTGGCCGTGGTGCTCCTTATGATCGTGGTGCTCCTTGTGGTCATGGTGCTCCTTGTGATCATGGTGCTCCTTGTGATGGTGGCCGTGGTGGTGCCTAAAAAGATGGTTAGCATTCACTGCTTGCAAGAGTTCAACTGTCTGCGTACCCATCGTGGTGACCGTCATGGTGCTTATGCTCATAGTGCTTATGCTCGGAGCCCTCATCGCGGCGGCTGGCAGCATTGATCAGCTCGATCTTGGGATCGTGCTTGTGGCTTGTTGATGTTAGCAGTGAATGACAACAGAAAGCGGGAGACATACTGCTTGCACTTGCCACAGGTGTAGCTGAGAGCAAAGTACTTTTCGCCGTTGGTGGACTCGCGGTTGTAAAGCTCATATCGCTTATCACCGTGAACAATCGTAGCCTTGATCTTGATATAGAAGCGCCAGCCACCCTCACCCTTGAGGGGGCACATCTTGTCGTAGGAACCGCCATCGGTAAGAGAGAAGTACGGGATATGGCACTTGACCTCCTTGTAGTTGTTCTTGGCCTTGCAGTGGTCGCTGTCCTTGTTGTACTTGGTCGAGTGAGCATGCGGGGGGCGGGCTCGCTCGACGTAGATGCTGACGTCTTCGTACTTGTAGTGATCGATGCCCTCAAAGTTGAAGACTAATCCATCGTCCTGGAAGTCGAAGTAGACCTTGCCTGTCGCCTCGTGAGGGGCGCAGTCGTGTCCGCTAGCACAGAGACCCCAGTGGTCACTGGGTTTGAAATCGTTCTGCGGTAAGACAAAGGTCGCTGGGTCGGGAACCCAATTACCCTTGCCAGCCTTTCCACATCCGTCGAGATACCGGTGGCCTCCCTTGGAGTGATCAGCTTTGAAGTAGGCAAGGGATTCGTGGGCTACGACCCCGAGGCCCTGAAGGGCACAAAAGAGGGACGTTCTCATCTTCATCGTGAGAAGAAGAGAGAGGAACGAATGAATAGCGAACTTGATCTGTTTGGGATGATTGATTCCCGAGAACACCTTGGCCTTTTTAAACCCAAGAGGTCCAAAATCACAAGGTCAGTCGTGAGTATGGAATCGGGACGGCCTCGTGCAAGAGGGGCTGGCCGTGAGGATTTGCGCCATGGCGGCGATGTTGAGCTTGCGGGCTCGGCCGATGAGGAGTTGCGCAGAGGTACTATGCAGTGGCTCAACGAGCTCCTTGGATGATGAGTAGATATGAACTCTAATACTGAGAAAGGGGGAAGATGTAGGAAACAGATTGGTGGCGTATGGCAATGAATAGTTGGCACAAGTAGGCACGTAGAGTCGAAGAAGAGAGACTCCCAAAAAGCGGTATCGCAACTGCGAGGAAATGAAACGCAAGAAAATATGGTCTCCAGCGAGGGAAGGGGACAAGACAGAGGTTTCGAGGATGTCGATACTCAATTGATGCCACGCTGCCAGTGAAGTCCACATACTGCATGCAAACAATCAGGGCAGATAGTTTCATGCAGTCTTCACATGGGGGCTTCCAAGAGAGTAGAGCAAAATCGTTGCTTCGGCTGGGGTGCATATTGGTTGACGTTTACTCGCATTGTGCCTTGAGCTGTGAGGGATTCTGCTCGTGTAGCGACGAACAAGCTTCTCGCGATCGAATTGAGTTTTGACGAGGATTGATTCCACAAGGGTATTCCAGGTAATCGGGACAAGCCCGAAGGCATGTGAAGCAATGGTGGCTGAAGATCAGGGGCAGAGTCTCCAGGTGACGGCAACGCTTGTTGGCTGGTCTCGACGAGCAAGTTTTTGACCTTGAGCATATGAATGCTTCTGCACGACATCTTAGCGAGGTTTAGATGATCCGATGGCAATGAAAGAGGCTGAAATGGTTGGCTCGGCCTCCCCGAGGAGACTCGTCCGCCAAATGCATCGTGATGAATTCGCAATTTATTGAACAATCAGCGCGTAAGAGACCAAAGAATGACGACGAGAGGCCTAGCGAGAAGCAAAGCCATCTCTATTCGGTTACGCTCGGTAGAACCCAATTGATGCTCGCGTAGTTCAGGTCAGAGAAAATGGCGTCAGTGTCGAGCTGGCCTGGGGGTACGCGGCGCGACGACGGATCAAGGCTTGCATCTTGTGGAGGCTGTTCCTGTGATTTTTCATGTGGGAGAGAGAGATGGTAAAAGTCCGATGGTTAGATGGCCAAAGGTAATTCAAGTTGTTGAAGCTCGCGATTGGGGGTGGTGTTGATGGAAGTGAGAAGAAGGAGGTGCTGTTGGAGGAAGTGAATGTGGGGTTGGCGCGCCGGAGATGCCTTAGGTAAGGAGCATGGGCATCTACCCAGGCCAGATACCTTGGGCAATATTCAGGTCTGTTGACCGGGCTCTCAGCCCTCCAGCTCAGTAGCCAGAGCCAGCTCCCCAGCTGCTTCAATCCTGTGCTTCTTCGGCCCTGTCTCCAGATCCAGATCCCTCTCCATCCTCACCTCCAGGCGGCCCAGTCCCAAGCCCATCCTCCGACACCTGGGCAATCCTGTTGGTAGACTTTGGGTAAACAAGATGGATAAAATTGTATCATGAGAAATAAAAGCAATCAAACGGGATTGCATGTGAAATCTGGGTCCTTGGATTGGGAGCTTGGTGTGGGTGTAGAGGGCCGGGATTCCTTCTTTGTGTCCTCGGTTTGTTTCATAGACTGAGCAAACTATTAGCAAACTCTCCGCAAACTACTAGATGAGGGAAACACCAAGCAATTATTAAGCAAATAAAAACTTCACTTTTATGCCCCGGAAACAGGGGCTCTTAGTTGCCTTCACCTTTTGATATTTAATAATGTTGGAGCCCCGCGCTTTTATGACCTGGAGGTTGAACATCGACAGCTGGCAAGGATCGAGGCGAGCTCGGCCGTCAGTGTATATACAGATTTTGATCAAAATCTCGACATCCACAGTCAAAATGCGTCTGACAGCTGTCGGCAGCTGCCAGTACTGATCGTAGTTTGCCTACCTTGATGACTCCGTTCGTGATTCACCCTCGCCATTCCAAAACAATATTCGCAAGTCACCCCAAACTCCAACATCAATCTTCCTCCCGCCCACGCACACAGCGACTTCATTATTCACATCAGTGACTCTGCGCTTCCTCAACTATATCGACTGACTTCGGCTCTGGGATTGCTACTGCCGACGTACCGGAAAAGCGACATGAAGGTCGCGGTCGTCGGTGGAGGCCCTGCAGGCCTCGCCACGCTCAAATTCCTCTCGCACGCTCACGAGTACTTTCCGATCCCTCCCATCGAAGCTCGTCTATTTGAGAGCGAAAAAGACATCGGCGGAACCTTTTCTTACCGCGTGTATGAGGACGCAGAGGTCAGTTCTCTCAGCGATGCGAAGTTGCTCCATGTCTGACTTTGTTTGCTTTTAGCTCGTTTCGTCTAAATACCTAACAGCTTTCTCTGACTTTCGCCTCCCGGAAGAGGCTCCTGATTTTCTCACTCCTGGTCTCTATGTTAAATATCTTAAAGAGTATGCCAGCACCTTTGAGCTTTGGGGCATGGTTGAGCTCCACACTCGAGTCGATAAGATCCGACGTGGCCCAAATGGGGTTGGCCACATTGTCAGCCTTCACTGTAAGGATACAGGCAGATTGACCGAGTGGACATGCGATGCCGTTGCTGTCTGTACGGGCATCAACGTGAACCCCGTCATTCCCAACATCAAGGGTGTTGAACGGGTTCCTTCGGTCCTTCACTCTTCCCAGCTGAAGACGCGGGCTCAGTTTGGTGACAACACCAACGTATATATCATGGGCGCCGGAGAAACCGGCATGGATTTGGCATACCTCGCTGTCACTTCCAAGGCAAAGTCAGTGACTCTCTGTCACAGAGATGGTTTCTTTTGTGCGCCAAAGGTAAGCTTACACCTTGCTCTATGCCCCCGAAAGCTGCTCTAACAGGTGACCCAGATTATTCCGATCCCTAAAGTGATGGGTCATTCGAAGGAAGATCCGAGTGGTCGTCCCAACAAGCCGGTCGACACCTCTGTGGCTAGTCTTTTCGACACAGCCTACGTTCACCCCAAGTTGCAGAGAAGTCAACTTCTCTGGACATACTATGATAGATGGGTCAAAAAGATGCACTGGGCCATCTCTGGAACTGAGGAGGGGCCCGATCAGTGGGTTGGCCAAATGAGCACCTCCCGCAAATACCTCGACTCAAGTAAGTCATCAAGAAGCACTGATAATGATGTACTAACAACGTTAGTTCTCCTTTGCAAGTCGGACAAGGCACTCCCCTACATGAATGTTGGGAAGCGCTCAACTTCCTGGGTGAACCGCGTGCGGTCCCGTATTATAAACGTCCCCCTGCGCGACAACGATGGCAAGAAGATCGACGTCATAACTTGGCCCAAGAGCATCGACGAGAATGGGCTGGTGGTCCTTGGCCAGAAGCTTCGAAGCGACTCGGTCCTCCCAGATGAGCAGCTCAAGCCAGATGTCATGGTGTTTGCGACAGGATACACACGAGAATTCCCCTTTCTCAACAACGACTACCCCTGTGTTTCTCAGACCAACGTGCGAGGCGTCTACAAAGACGGAGACGTGTCATTGGGCTTTATCGGCTTCGTTCGCCCAGCGATAGGTGAGTAAAAAGGTCCCACAGTCCAAGCCCCAACTTAACAATGTGTAGGTGCGATTCCTCCTCTGGCTGAGCTGCAGGCCCAGTTTTGGGTGCTTCGACTTCTCCAGGACCAGTTCCCCAAGGAGGTCCCTCGCCAACTTGGCCCCAACTCTCTTCCCTCATATGATCTAGACTATCAGCTCCATCCTCGCGGAAGCTACAACTTTTTCGAAACGAAGCGAGCTGTCGATCATGAAAGTTACGCGTACCAGCTTGCACTTGACATGGGCTCCGCGCCCACTGCCACGTACGTTTTCAAGAAGGGGTTTCGAGTGTTTTTCACTTGGGCAATGGGGTCGAATTTCAACACAAAGTTCCGCCTAGTGGGCCCTTGGCAGTGGGAAGAAGGGGCCGAGAAGATCATGCGCAACGAGCTCTACCGCGTGGTCAAGCGTTCAGGTGGCTATGTCTGTAAGTGGCTGCCAAGATGATATCTGTTCGACCCCCATGCTGACCTGCGGTAGACCTGACAACTTATACTATAATCCCCATGTTCATCTTTGGAGCTCTGAGCTTGATGCTGTATGGGTGTTTTGGCCTCTGCAACCTCGTTTCTGGTTTGGGGAGACGAGCCAACAAGAAGCCGTCTGCCGCTACACCTGCGGAGAGACAGGCGTAGGGAATCGATCTTGACATCTCCACAAGTGTGATGGATACTCGAGAATTTATATCAGAACTGGATTGGGACTGCTCTGATTACGGCAAGCCGCCCTCCATAGGGGATGGAATCATCGGTTGACCAGGCCATACTGATTTGGCATGAGTGAGGAATGACAGCGTGAAGGTATCGAACAGACGATACCCTTGTGTAGTTATACGTATAGTGTAAATCAATGTACGACCATGTATCATAGAACTCTGGGGCTTAGTTTTCGTGTCGTGCATGTGAAGCCTGTTCGTTCCATCTCGATGGAGGTGGGTCCAGGCACTCTGGCTCGGTGAGGACCGGCGAGTGGGGGCCGTGGCGGGGCTCACCTCGGTGAGTTCGGTGAACCACAAGCCTTAGTTTTTTCCAAAGGCTGGAGATGCCAAACCATTCCTCTCGCCCTCACAAAGTGCAAAATGTCTGATGAGACGGTACAGCCCAATCAATGGGTCGCCTTGAGGCTTCCCAATGAGACCTTTCGCATATTGGAAGTTGTGCCCAACACGTAAGCAAACCATTCACTCTTGCGCCGCGATCGCTAACTCTTTTGTGACAGAACCATTTCGCTGGGCAAGTATGGCTCATTCCCCTCGAACCTCGTCATCGGTCGACCGTTCCACCTCACGTACGAGGTTCAGGATAAGCGAGAGGGTGAGAACTTTGCGCGACTGCGCGTCGTTCCCGCTAGAGAGCTCAACGCCGACAACATGGCCGACACGAGCGCGGAGGCGACAGAGGGCGAAGACGTGATCGCCCCCGCCGACGGGGAGGAGCTGACACTCGTCGACGAGAGTGGCAAGGTCTTGGTGCGGTCGAACCGAGAGATCATCGACGACTCTGCGCGGCAGACGCTCACAGCCGAAGAGATTGAGGAGCTCAAGCGCAAGGGCGCTTCAGCGGGCAAGGAACTGATCGCGAAGCTGCTCCTCTCGCATACTGCCATCGACCAGAAGACGGCATACTCGCTCGCCAAGTACAAGCTCCTCAAGACGAAAAAGTACATCCGGCGATTTACCGTCTTGCCTCTAGACGTCCCCATGCTTGCGCAGTGGCTGCTCGAGGACCGCGACCCGTCAAAGATCTTTGAGATGAGAGCGGAGATGATGGCGCTGGTGGGGTGCTGGGCCGACGTTCACTTTGGCGGCGTGGCTTCTGAAGATGCCACTGCGAATCAGGGCGGGAGGTGGTTGGTTGTGGATGATACTGGTGGTCTGCTGGTTGCTTCCATGGCTGAGAGGATGGGTATACTTCACCAAAAGCCCGAAGAGGAGAAGACGGAAGAACTGCCGATACATACTAGCGATCCTTCAGCTCCAGAGACCGCACTAGCCAGCACTGATGCGACAGAAGCGCAGCTAGACCAGCCTCAAGCAACATCAGAAGCTACAGAAGCTCCGTCGTCACCCAAGGCGCATAAGAAGCGACACCCTCGACGAAGCGACTTCGACGTCCCCTACGTCAACACAAATACCCTCACCCTCATTCACGGCCAGACCCAGCCCAACCTCTCTCTCCTCCGGTACTTCAACTACGACGCCACCAACCCCAACCCGACATACCCTTACCACCCCCTTGCTACCAACCTCATGCCGATCTCATGGTTACAGCTCCTAGCCCCTGAAGACGACGATGCCTACAACAACCGACCACCTGAGGCTACACCCGAGGAGATGGCCTCATGGAAGACGAATCGCCGAGGTAACTACCACCGCAAGCGACGGAGGTGGGCGCGTATCCGTCACGTAGTGGACGCAACACGTGCCGGTGGCTTCTCCGGCCTCGCAGTCGCGAGCACCATGGATCCCATCTCGATCGTCCGTAACGCTGTGCCCTTGCTGGCAGGCGGTGCTCCCATCGCCATTTACTCCCCCACAGTAGAGCCCCTAACGCAGCTTGCCGACTGCTTCAGCGTAGCCCGTCGTGCAGCATGGGTATCAACGCCACCACCCGAGATCGAAGGCAAGTCACTCTCCGAGCTCGAGCGCTGGGAGGGCACACCCGAGTTCCCTCTCAACCCTACGCTACTCCTGGGTGTGACAGTCCAGAGCAGCAGGGCGCGGAGATGGCAGGTCCTCCCTGGACGCACGCACCCGTTCATGATGGGACGAGGCGGAGCGGACGGGTTCCTGCTTACGGCTTGGAGGGCGGTGCCGGTGGAGGGCAAGATTGAGGCCAGGGGCAAGTTTAAGCGGAGAAAGATGGAGGCGTCTTGATTGGGAAAAGGGAGTTTTGCACAAGCAGGATTGCGAGGTAGCTTGTTAGGAATAAAATCACATTAAGCATGGTTTTCAACCTTGTTGGCCTTGGGAATCAATATCGTGATTGCGCATATTTGCCTCTGCATAGACAGCTTGCGTATGTTTGTGCTTGCTAGATGTCAAGCTGGGCTGCATACAAACATATCCTGAACTATTATAAATAATCCCATCTCTCCCTGTCTTTCAGCGAGTCCTTGACATCCAAGCCTTCTTTCTCCGATATATATTCAAGGCATTATATAGCGCGTCTCGACTGACCGAATTCCGAGTCGACGGAACCTCTCTCTTTGTGCTGTCAAATGAGTTGAACGGAGAAGCATCGCCTCTTTGCTCATCGGTACGAAAGCGGTCTCACAGTTTACCAACTTGACAAGCCGGTTGTAGCTCCATGAGGTAAGCATGGCTCATTCTTCTGATGATTCGCCTAACTTGAGACAACGTAGTCTATGGACTCTGCTGCTAGTATATACGAAGAATTCAGCAAACGTCTTCGAGAGCGGTCCTATTCCCGCCACGAGTAGACTGGTGGCACGCCCCCTTCGATGAGCTTTCTGAGTCTGAAGAGATGTTTGAGCCAGACTGGCTCATCGATGAGACGAAAGATCATCTTCTCCTAAATGGATTCCCCCGGTCTCCCTTCGCATCAATCCGAAGAACGCAGGATCAAAAAGCAGACTTGCACAATCGTCCTTGTGTTCCTGTTCCTTGGGGCGTAGATACCTCGAACTTATATACACATGCCGCCAGCCAAGGACATAATGGGCATTGACAATGAAGTGCTTCTCTGCGATATCTCGGCATCATTCGAACCGGTCTTCTGCGCCAAAGCACTACCGTCAGTTGCAAAGGAGGATCGCACCAAGGATTTTTATATACATATGGCAAGCCAAGCCAACGTTGGGGACCTCGTCCACAGTCATGACATTTGACGAAGCGCCTTTCTGAGTCTACACTGCCACCTTCATACCGGCTTTCCTACCAAAGCACTACCGGCAGTTTCAGATGAGGGTCCAGCCAATGGTCGCTTGCTGGTGGGGAAGACGAGATACATATATATGACAACTTCCATAGAGAGAGCCCTGGTTGTCCAGTCCTTGGAGGTATTGATAAAGTCTTTATCAAAAATCACCCCCCTTGGATACCAGACTACCGTCCTGGGAGACAGCCATGCTATCAGGCTAGGTGGCTGAAGGCGTTCATTTCGGTCCACTATATATGGATCATCACTTGGGGACTATATATCGGGATTACGCTTTCAAATGGCATGGATTTCCGCGGCGTCAAGTCAATCCACCGAGGACAGAAGCCCCCGACCAGGCTGGTGGCTGCCCGTCCACGTCGTCTCCCTCACCGACCTCGGCCCGCATGGCCCCTATGGACTTGAAGACTACCGCTCCGAATGATCAAGAGCACGATTTCTTCAACACTTCTAGGACCAAAGATATATATACTCAAGCGCTTCAAGCAAGTATTGCTCTCTGCGACACAGAGGGTGTGCCCCGGGTTTGCTCGTCCGGCAATCCCTCAGACTGTCAAGTCGCTTTCACCGCTCCCGGGCACAAGCTTGCACCTCCACAAAGCGACGATTGTCATCTCGGTTCATTATACAAGGATTATCCCTTGGTGGCTATTCACAAAGCACAGAGTATGGCTGCGTCAAGTCGATTCTCCTGGGCGTACAAGACTCCACGAAGCGGCTGTGCACTTTTCGCCTCCTCCCACCTGTCTGCATGGCTCCTATGTGGACTCGAGGACCAACAATCCCAATGATCAAGAGTATGACAAGTTCTTGGTTTCCACATCGGACGCTATATATATATGCGAGGGTTGTTGAAAAATCTTCCTCTTCCCATTTCTGGGTGCTTGTGCCTTCGCAGTTCGATCTCGTCCAGTGCGGGCTGGCACCTTCAGTGAGCAATATCTCTCTCATCTCAGTCCATTATACTTGGATTATTGATATATACCAACATCAGGGTCCTTGCTTTCGCATTCAATTGAGCAAGGCCCCCGAAATTCACCCAGACAGGATCACACAAGTGACAGCACGCACATGCCCTTCCACGCTTCACCCGTTCTGTTCAACCCTTCAGAGACAGGCAGGAAAAGACTGTCAACTCACATATCACTCTTCTTCAAACGAGGGGCGGGTATATAGATCCAGCGCCATCCCTCGACAGACGCGTCAAGAAGGCATTCCGAACTGAAGGCGATGAGGTCTTAGGCAAGAAGAAAGAGCAGCCCTCGAGGTCTTTCAGGCGACTTCATAGCGGACATATTGGTGGCGAACGCTGACGACCCTGACTATGCCCATGATCATTTTGAACAACCTACATGGGGCGTTTCCCGGGCGCAGGAGAAAACCATGGGAACCAATATATATAACCCAAAGCAAGTCCCGGATCTTGATGAATGGCACATTCCCTGAATGAGCGAAGAGGACAATGGGAAACGGAGGATGGCCTGCAATTCATCTTCCTTTGCCCAAGCTTTTGCTCACTGCATATCGAGCAGCGCCCAAAAAGCATGAGGGTATGCATGCATGGCAGAGAAGGCAGGAACGAGATGCTGGCTGAGAACAACTTGGCGAATGCGATATGAGTGATGGTTGAAACTACACTTGAGGAGAGCATGTATTGACTGTCCCCTCCAAGTGATATGGCGGGAACTAGGATGTTTATTGTATCTAGCAACACTTCAGCGGGTTTACCAAACTGTATGTAAACCAGCTAGCTACCTCTTCAAGATACCCAGCTCCCTACATAGACATGGGAGACAAGGGGGAAGATGGTTAAGCTATGTTCCATAGCCGTTCAACCGTTTTAGTTGTGACGTCAGTTCATCATCAGCTTCACAGTGCAAAATCCCAAGACAGTCGTCAGATGAAGAGTCCAAAAACTCCCAGTCTATGATTGAAGCGTAAAAAAAGGACTATTATACAACCCTTCGGCAGGGTACCACCCGTCTACCCACTCTATGCTCGAGGTATCATAAGCACACATGAGACGAAAAACGAGTAACCCCCTGTTCTTTTCCAAAGGATTCACTTTTTGTTTCCCTTCCCCTGACCGTCCCTCCCTGGACGAGGAGCCTGCTGACCGCAAGCCTTGTGCAGCCCCCTACTTCCATTGAACAAGGTATCCATTGTAAAAGAAACAGCAGCGAGCGTTCGTTTCAAAGCAGGCCCAGCTCTTGGGCACTGCTCAGGCCACGGTTCCCAGACAGCTCGTACACTTTCCCTCGCTTCCCCTTTTCATTTCGACATTTCGGATCGTTTAAGCAGCGATCTCGACACCACCGACGGCACCGAGGGCCTAGTTGAGATGTTAGTGACATTGCAGAGAAACTTGAGGGTAGAGTTTGACATACCTTCTTCAGGTCACCGTAGATGGCGAACTGACCGGCGGTGAGAGTACCGACCATGAAGAGACGGGCACCAATACCGGTGTAAGAGCCACGGAGACCGAGCTCCTTGCCGATCTTGATGAGACGAGAAGTGGTGCCCTCACCGGGGAGACCCTTGGTCTTGTTGATCTTGGAGAGCATGGTGTCGGCGGGCTGAGAGACAATGGCGGCGGCGAAACCGGCGGTCAGACCAGAGCCCAGGTTGACAACGGTCTGCATGCCGTCGGACATGTCCTTCTTGGGGAACTGGCGGTAGACAGCCTCGGCAACCTTCTCGTAGACGACGAACTTGGCCATGGTGTAAGGGATCCTGGTGTTGTGAGTATATGCCGAGAAAAGCCTATGATAAATGAGGTACTTACTGCTTGAAGAGGATGGGACCGAAACCAGCGTAGAAAGCACCGATACCCTCGTTCTTGAGCATCTTGCCGAAACCAGAGATGAGACCGCTGGCGTAGGTAGGCTCAGAGACGAGACGGATACGGGTGGCCTCAAGGGGGCAGAGGGCAATATCGGCGAAGAACTCGGCGGTGGCGGAAGAGGCGAGGTAGACGGCAGTGCGGTTCCTGGAGGCAGTCTCGTAGCCGAGCTGGTCGATCCACTGCTGCTTGAAGAACTCGTAACCTCCGAACTTGAAGGCGCCCTGGAGGAAGTAACCGGCAAAGGTGGGGCCGGCACCGGTGAGGAGAGCGCCAGCACCCTCGTTCTGGACGACCTGGCGGAAGCCACCGACCAGACCGCGGTTGTAGGTGACGGGGTCGAGCTGGATACGAGTCTTGACGCTGTGAGGTGTTAGCTTAGGTGTTCAAGAGAAGCTCGCTGCCATTGAGGTTCGGAATTGCGACACGGCGGAACGGCAGCCTCGGGTCAATTGAGGACCCCGAGATAACCGCTCGTAGAGAAGCAAAAGGCGCAATTGACAGCGAGAGGCTCGCGGTAGAAACGTACACATCGACGGGAGTAAGACCACCGTGGGTGATGGAGCAGCAGGCAGCACCGGCGAGGGCGAATCGCGAGTAGAGGGCGAAGCCGGTGAGCTTCTTGGGCTCCTCAGCCTTGATGGTCTGGACGACGGCGTCGACCTTGGTCGAGCCGGTGGAAGCAGCGCCGGAAGCCATTGCGGAAGATTGTTGTATGGGGGATTCAGACAAACAAAGGACTGAGGGGAGATGAGAAGAGCCCGAGCTGTTAAGACGGGGTCTGGGTGAGGGAGAAGCTTGAGGTGAGAAGGAGGAGGGAGAAAAATTCAAGGCTTGAGATCTTTTTTTTTTGTTTTGGCGGTTCCCCCCCGGGGAAAAATAATGCCTCCTGCCCGCCGCTTGCTGCTTGGTCGGAAAGATTCGGATAATCGGCGCCGACCGCCGCACGGACCGGGCCAAGGGGAGAGAAGCCGGGGGACAGTACGTAAAAGCCGGGCTTAAAACAGGTCTGATACAGGCTTACAGGCCCTTTCCAGGGCGTCTACAGTGGCGTATATGCACTGACTACGGGTGCTCCTCCGACGTCTGGGAAGCCCGGGGTAGTGATGGATGGACCTTGTTAGCCGCCAAAGAAGCAAGCAGAGTGACGTACGTATCTCGGGGAGATATCTTTGAGATACGAAGGTAGATAGAGGTTGACTCTTTGAATGAGAGTGTCTAGCTACAGGTCATCTCGAGAATTGTCAATCCATAACCTGACGATACCCTGATACAGCAAAAATAGCCTGTCCCACTATCAGCAACTTTCCATTCCTCACAACTGATCAAATCTCGCATCTCACTCACTCACCAAGCAAATGCCAGATCTTGCATTTCACTCACGGAAACTCTCACACTGTCCGGGATTTCCTCGGCATGCCCCACCACTCACCAACCGTCGCTCGTCAACGTGGTGGTATTGGCTGGAAGGCAAGACTTCTCTCTAAACGGTGGCGACGGCCAAGCCCGTCTTTTCTTCTCTTCTTTGCGTGCTTGTTTCTGTCTCTCTTGTTTCTTTATTGCCGGCTCGGCCAATGACCAGTGCCTGATAAGCAAAACCCCTGGCCTCTCGGGTTTTACTACCGAGCTAGCGAGCCTTGATGTTTTATCACGCACCTAACTTCAAGACAGCGGTCAATTGGCTCAATGCTTTGACAGAAGAAGCTGATACTGATGATCTACCCTCAGCTTAATCCAAATACCGCATACAACTGCCTTGCTTACTCTCAAGCCATTCTCTACGCTGTCCACCTCGTTTCTTGTGCCGACAGCCAAGCTCGGGACGCCTCGTGGCCCTGACAAATGCAACCCACACTTTGGACCCCGGCTCATCTCAGATCATATCGGCCAACAAGCTGCTAGATCTGGGCTGTGAGCCATTGGCCAAACAGAGGCCGTTGCTCAGTTGTCGTCATTATCATGCACTCGACTTCATAGCCGCGATATCCCATGTCAAACCTCAACTCCGGAGCCATAATCTCTATCCATGATTTCACTTGCTCCTCTCAGCCTCCCAAGATGTGGAAATAACCAACCCATCGTCAAAAACATACCCATCACCACTCTTCACCCTTGATCCCTCACTCTCTGGCATCAGATACCCCCTCTGATTCGCCAACAACTTGATCCCGCTCTCCAGTACAACCTCGGTCGAGTAATGCGTATGCCCAAAAACCCAGATCCTGACACCGTCCCACGTTTGATCCATCAAGTCGGTAGCAAACGCGCACGTCCACGGGTTCCCGACGTGCTGCGGCCTTGACGTGCCCTCGACCTGTGGCGCGTGGTGCGTCGCCACTAGTAGCTGTTTTGTGCTTGCCTGTGCGACTTGCTCGCGGAGCCAGAGGTGCTCTTCTGCGTGAAGAGTGTTGTGCTTTTCGACGCTCCATCCGATGATGTTTTTAAAGTCCTTGACCTTGGATTGCACAACATCATACGCTTGTTGTGGAATTGCAGACCACATCGTGCAACCAAGTATCGTAAACTCAGACTTGGGATCATCCCATCTGGTTCGATGTAGCAGAACAACCCTGCCAGCAAGAGAAGCCTCAGATACGAGATGTCTGGCCGTCTCAACCCCAGCTTTGTAGTCCAGGCCGTAAAATTCGTGATTGCCAAGCACCAAAAACACCCTCTCAAACCGGGAAGCCTGCTTCTCCATGAAACCTAGGTACCCATCGTAGTCGATCAACCGCCCTACGTCTCCCCCTAGGAGCAGATAAGGCGCTGTCGTGGGGAAGCTGTATGAGGAGTACTGCTGCCCGAACTCGAGGTGCAGGTCAGAAAGGGCCTGTATCCAGGGCTGTGACTGCTCTGCCGAGTTGTCTCTCGGGAACGAGGCCATCCTGACACGAAGACGAGCCGACAAGGCGGTAACAGATGTTGTCGGTCTGGAATAAGACTTTGACAGTGGGTACTAACTGTGGCTCCTTTCGCGCCTTGACACCGCGTGCTACGGTTAACAAGAGGGCTTAAAAAATTAGCTATTTCTTGGGTATTTTATAAATTATTATAGTCTTGATATAATATCATATTTATCGTATTTTTTAAGAATAATCTCTTAAAAAGTTAGGAATTATTTTATAACCTAGTATCTAGCCTTGATACATTCGCTAAACAGGCGTCCATTGCAATTCCTCCCTATGACTGTGTGTAACCCCTTTTCTAAACCTCCCGTAAAAAAGAATTCCTTCTCTAAAGATTCATCCCCCACGGGTGACACTAAGAAAACTTTCCGTCCCTTCCTCAGCTCGGAAGCCATGATGGTCGCAACCAACTGACAATGCACTAACGGGTATCCAGAATCCTCCCAGTAGTGACCGACGGCTTTAAGGCGCGGCAGCAACACTTCCAGTAGATACTCCAAGGCGAGAGGATGCGGTGCGCGCATGGCTGCCATGAGAACCACGATGCTTATGCCAAGGCTGAGCGTGTTTCTGTGGACGCACTCCGCGGGGTCAAGTCCCTCTGCTATTCCTAGGATGGCTCGGAGACGGGGGTTGATCGGGTCCTTGATTGTGGGTGCAGGTGTTTCGGTCAGGTCTGCGAGGGACGTCTCATCGCAGAGTAGCTGGGCTAGTTTGAAGTATGCCTGAGTCATGGCAGCTGAGTGTGAGGGGAAGTGGATGGACTCAACCCCATGCTTGGTGAGCAGGGTCCCTGGACCTGACCTTGCTGAAGATTGTTGGTCAGCAACCTTGTCGATCTTGGCGGAGTGTTCATTGAGTTGTCGACAAAGTTCTCCAAGCCTTTCGTAGATGCCCAGATTAGACGTTGGATTACTGGCTACTCGAGACAGGAGAGCGTCTGGCGTTCCACGGACTGAACCGAACCAAACGGCCACCTTGTGCAATGCCGTTTTTGCATCCTCGTACCCCAGCCTAATGCATTTTGTGAGCAGTAGACGGAAGCCCAGGCTCCAGCCCTGGGAGATGGCTGAGTAAATGGATTCCGTGTCTGCGCTGGAGTATGCCGCAAGTGTCTGGAGCTGCTTCCCCTTCTCGTGCTCCATGTCTAGGAGCAGAGGGAGACGGAAAAAGGACGCTCTCGATCTTAGAATGACCCACGTCCGAAGTAGCAGGCAGCCCTTTGAAGTGCTGCTAAGATCAATAGCATGAGCTAGCATCAAGGTATCAAGACCGGCAACGTGGTACCATTGTCCCTGGACGGTCCCGATTTCCATCTCGTAGTAGACCAAGACCATGATTATCGTGAGGGCGTCCTTGATGTTGAGACACTCAATCCGAAGCTTCTCTATTGCGCGGGTGTATAGCAAGGTAGCATTCGCGAGGTGGCCTTTCTCATGTAGCAACGGCTTTTCTTGAGAAGATGCATTGGAATTGAGCGCCTGCAAGCGCGAGAGGTTGGCTGCCGAGAGCGCCAGAATAGCGCAAGTGGCTGGATGGCCTATTCCCAGGAGAATGACGACTTGCTGCAGCGACTCTGGGAGAAGTTGGATCACGTGTGTCCTAAAATGAGCATAGTACTGGCGATGTTCGAAGTCATGACCGATATCTCCTCCACCTGAGGGAGAAGAGATCGGCCTAGTCGCGTGGTTCGCTGCGTGCCGGATGATCTCGCTGTGACCGATATCGTGGCACGAGCTTTTGGAGGATGACTGTGAATGAACATCTGCCTGGCATCCGGCAGCGAGAGAAGTATCCAGTGTTGACGCATCTTGAGCTTGTCGTACATCAACGGTGGATGCACGGTTATGGCTTGCTGCTGGTAACGCAACCAAGTATCCTTCAGGGCTGGAAAGAGGTGGCGTTACTTGGAAGTCCGGCTCATCCGTCCCGGCGGTGGTTACAAAACCATCAATTTCCAAGATAGGGTTGGGTGGGGGTTGAGCTGAGTCTTCAATGCTTCGTGAATCGAGTGCCAGGTATTCGACATCATCCAGCCACTGAAAAGTACTCGACTCCAGCATATCTTCAATGGCTCCCCAAAGGCCTTGATCAGATGAACTTGTATGTGAGGCAGGAATGCTGTCTTCCAAAGACACGGCTGGTCTGCTAGTTTGGAAGAGAATTTCCCTTTCACCATCTTTCGGCGAGAAGTCATGGCTTGCGTTTGAAGCGATGTCGGACAACATCGGCATGGCCGGAGGCGGCAAGCCTCGACTGGCATTTATCGTAGGAAGTGGGCGATGCGTAACAATATCCGACGGCGCACTAACCTTTGCACGCCAGTTCACGCCTGTGTTTGTCGGTTCAAGCTCGACAAAGCGGAGGTGTTGCTTATATCCGCCGCATCGGCCTCCACGTTCTGTGCACTGGCGACAGGAGGGCCGCGTCTCATCACACTGGATTCGAAGCGTCAATGAGCCTTTAGGATGTTGAAACTAGATGGTCGAGGAAGCTGACCTTTCTCCGCTGCCGCTTACAGGAGACACAGCCGTTTCTACTGCGGACAATGTTCGTTTTCTTTCTTCGTGGCGGAACTGGCCCATACATGTTGGATCAACTTTGATGGATGTTGGCCGTTAAGTGAGTGAGGCGACGTAGAGGCGACTTGCGCGGAGCAGAAAGCACTTCAGGTAGTTGAATATCTAATGAGACGTAGGAGATGTGAGTGAGTGTGGGGAGATGTGGACGTGGAAGAGGAGGAAACCACCCCGGCGCAATTCCGTCAGAAATATTGGACTACTCGCTACTCTATCACGTGCAGATTTGGACGGTACACTACCTACCTAGACATGTTGAGGATAGACTTCAAACGCATGTACTTTAGGTCCTTAGTTCTAGTTGCCACAAGTCCCGGTTGTCTCATTTCATGCACATTGAACGCAATGCTATTATTCAATTACGCCCAATAGAGATCTGTTAAATAAGCACATGGCTCGTTAGGTACAGGGCTATCTCGCATGTCATTCCCAGTGAGATAGATTAAGCCGGAGATGACTATACAGCGCGCTCGAAACGACTAGCAGCTCCCCCCAGGGCATCCCAAAGTAGTCCCGTAAAACGCAGTCCCTCCCACTTCAGCGATATTCAAGACAGCTGTCAGCAACCCTGCTAGAGACTCTCCCCCGATCATGCCCGCAGCCACAGCGAATCCAATACGCCCAAAGCTGGCCGGGTTCCGCTTCTGCCACACGAAACCAATGGTACCACCGATAGCGATAGCGACGCCATATCCAGTGATTGGGAGAATTCCAGCAATGCCTACCATCAGCATGTTCGGGATCCAGGCGCTGAGCGTAGTTCTGCCAGTTTTGGTAGCCCAGTGCCGAATGACGTGGACACCAATGGTAAACACACAAGCACAGATTGTAAAGATCCAGGAGCTCCGGGGAATCAATATTTGAGGGCTGGTGATTGCCAGAGCGATGACTCGATACCCCTGTGCGGCTGGAGCGGCCAGGCCACAGGTTGCTGCTTGAGCCAGATCATTGATACACGGATACGCCTTGGCGAAGACGATGTACAGAGCAGGCGAGAGAAAGATGGCAGGTATGATGCCCAAAAGTTGGCCGTAAAACTGGTATCGGGGAGGCGTGCCGGTGAAGTATCCCACCTTGAAGTCCGTTGTCAGCTCACCAGCTTGCATAGCAGCTTGGCTGACGATGGCGCCAGCCACGAGACATCCGAAAGTAGCAGATGACGTGTTATCTGTGTTGCTACGCAGAATACTGCCAATGACAAGTTGGGAGATATAAGCAGCAGGCCCAGCGGGAGCGATTGATGATTGCCCAGCGACCTGCACCACAAACATGCCGAGAATGACGGCCAGAAGAAGAACGAGAACTGCAATCCCGCCATTCAGGTCCTGTAAATGATTCTGTTAGAGAATAACCACTCCAAAGATAGCTAAAACTCTGCAACTCACGTAATGTAAAGTCATGATGAGACAGGCAAGAAGCGCACCGGCGGTCAGAGACGGCCAGAACTCCCACCACTTTGTCTTTTGCTGCGGGGTAGAGGGATCAGGGAGGGCTGGAGATCCGACGTGCTTCCCAGCTTGGCGTCCCAGAGATTCACTCTCTCTGCCCCGGAGCAGAAGCACGACGCGGTTCCCTCCTTTGGCAGCATAAACCCAGATGAGCGTTGCAAGACGGACCCAGCTTCTCCATTGGCACGCGATGTCAGTGACGCTTGCGCAGAGCATGACAAACACTGAAGGCCACAACATCCAATACCGAGGCGATGGGTTGTTGATGGGGTCTTGAAGATTCAAAGACAGGTATGTCATGAGATCAGGCTCTTCAGGGTCGAAGGCGATGCCAGAGGCAATCCCCTTGGCCTCCAAGATAGGACCGATGACTCCCCATAGAACGACATAACCGAGCATCCAAGACAAAGCCAGGTTGAGTCCGATAATGATTCCATAGCCCATCATAGCGGGGCTCCAGTAGATCTGAACCCAGCCCCAGTTGGAAGCAAAGATGGCCCCCTTGGCGCCCCAGACATAGAACCACCAAGTAATGAACCAGTGAATCAGGATCCCGGGAGCATAGGACGACCCTACAATGTAGCAGAAGCACACCACAAAAGTGATCAGAAGAGCTTTAACTCCGTTGTTCCCGGCATTGTTGCCACTGAGGTGGAATGTGCGGATCGTCGTCGCAATCGCAAGTGCGGATGGAAACTTGAGCTGAAGGTCTCTAGCAAGATCCAGAATGAAGAGCTTGTACATAGGAACCGCCATGACGGAGCCAAAGAGACCAGCTGAAGCGGTCAAGGCGGCTAGTTTTCCGTAGCTGTGAGACACCTCGTCGGGGAAAAAGTTGGACTGGAACATGGCTGGGACGGAGGTGATGAAGAGTGTGCTGAGACCACCAGTCGCCATGGCGATGGTCTGGATGATGGAGTGCTCCTGGGGACCAAAGCTACCACTGAGAAAGGGGACGGATGCCCTGATTAGAGCTTGAGAGATTGGGTAGGCAAGGAACGCCGCAAACATGTTGGCATCGTTGGCAATACCAAGCTTGAGACCTAGTGTTTGTGTTGGTAAAGTGTCATTGTGGATGAGGAATCACGGAGCACATACCGAGGTAGACGTTGCTCGCATTGACTAGGGCGCCCAGGGACCATCCGATGAGGACAGCACGAAGAGTTAAAGGGTTTGTCTCGATGGGCAAGTCTGGATGAGGCGGGAAAGGCATGTAGTACTCTTCACCGTCAACCTCCCCAACAGCAAAGTCATGGGTGGAGTCTGGCTTCTCAGCGTCTGCTGGAGACTGAGCAACTACCTCCGAGGCCTTGACCTTCTCCATGGCCGGAATTGTTAAAAGATTGATTGAAATTTTCGAACCGGGGGCTGATGGCGCCTTGGAAACCCTTTTTGGCGCAGCTTTGGTGGGGACCAGCGGAGGCTTCAACCAAGTAGTTTATATAGGCACATCACACTTGGTCGCCTGATGATAGAAATGGATTGGTCCCATGATAGAGAGTCTCTCGAGGCTTGCTCAAGCCAGCTCAGCAAGCTACCAATCACCAAAACCTCAGCCAGCGATAACCGAGACAGGGGCAAAAGGTGAACCAACCCCTAGCTAAACTCCGCATATTCCACATTTGGCCAAGTGAGATAAAGACGCGGCACATAATAGGTTGCCCGCATCCACGCACTCAATAAGGACTAGGGTCTCCCTACAGGATAGCAATGGTTATCCCTTTCAAGATAGTACTCGCTTGATAATAGAGAATCATAGCGTGATAGAGAGATGAACGTGAGCCAACTAACGGAACCTGTTCTTCCCCGCAAACCCAATCGAACCATCAGGGAGTTCCCCCGGGTTTACAGGTTGCAAGGATTGGAAACGGTAGTCAGAGACTAACGTATACGTACCTATACCTCCTTTTCATAGTACATGCGCAGGTAGCAAATCATAGCTTCAAGACAAGATACGTACTGGCTATCATAGCCTCCAGGGTTATCAGGTCTAGAATTCGCAGGCTAACGGAGAAGAAAACTACTTTTCAACAATTCTAATCCTTGAGACTTGTACCTGGTGGGCAGGCTGCAAGCACCCACCCGCTTGATGTCGGATCTCTGCGGGAAACCGTCGCCTTCGCTTCCGATGTCCACGGCTGTTGGTCTCAATGACACCTCCAAAGGAAGCCGTCGTCAACCAACAAGGCGTCAAAATCTAATACCGTAAAATACCGTAACTTGAATATAATCAACTTGGCAGTAGCCATAAGATGTTTGTAGAAAAGGTAAATATTTTTATAGAAAGAGCATACTTGAAAGGCGGCCAAGTGATACAAGACCAATGCCCCCTCGCCTCGTATAATCACATTGTTAAAGTACCAAGGCACTGCCATTCCCTCGCAGACTCTACAGTTGATTATTCTGTCTACACGTTTATCCCCCTGCTCCGTAGTTGAGCACACGACATCGCCCATGCAAATGCGGCACAGATAGCTGTCGCCGAAGAGGCCAAAGCCCATATACCGTAGCAGCTCCACTCATGACACTGACTTGACCTTGTAGTATCGAGTGCCCACTCGTAGAGGAACGAGTACAGCCAGCCCCAGACCGCAATGGCGGGGGCTGGAGAGAGGCTAATCCAGCTGCAGATGACGGAGAAGCTCTCCGGGCCCCATGCCTGAGCGACGACAGGCATGGCAGCAGAGTTGCAGCCATATCCAAGTCCCAGCAAGGCACTGCAGAGATGAAGAGCAATGTTGGAGTACTGCGACCCAGCTAGCGGTGTCGCGAGAAGCAGGTATCCAATCGAGGCGAGGATTGCAGGAACGATGAGAACGATGAACCTCGTCCGATAGACTGAGGTCTGGCCGAGAGGCAGTTCCGGAGCTGGAGCCGCACGGTCAGAGATGACGCCCAGTGTAAGGCGTGTGACGGTGGCCACGGTGGACAAGATGGTGATTTGCTGGACAAGTTTAGAACCTTGGTCAGTCGAGTCGTCGCTCATGGCCGCAGTGATGGTCCCGAGCTATAGTAAATCGGTTAGTCCATTGACAAGTGTCAAGATGGTTGAGCACATAGCCACACGTACGTTATTCAGGTAGACTGCGATGGTGCCTGGGAGAAGAGCCATTCCACCCATGAACCACCATAACGCTTGGTCCCGGAAGAGAGGGTTTTCACCCTCTTTGCATACTTGCTGCCCGGAGTTCGAGGAACCACTGCTCACTGACGTCGAAGCGTCCCCTTCGTCGATTGTTCCATAAGTCGCCTGCGCTTGGTGCTTGGGGATGAGATGATCGGCTTGGTCACTGTCCTCTACTCGAGTGATGAGAACCGGAGGCATGACGACCTCCTTCTGGACAACGACTAGTCCAACGGCGCTGATTAGCCCAACAGCCATCGCCAGCGAGGATAATAGAACAAGGAACCTTCCCGCATCTAGATAAGGAGCAGATCCAGGGTCTTGATTCGTCATGAAAAGATGAGAGGCCATCTGGCTGAGTGCAATGCCACCCACGCCAACAGCTGTCACTGGAACAGACATCAACATGCCCTTGTAGCGGCTCTGTAGCAAGTTCCTGGCACAGGCATCAAGAGCACTGAGCTGGATTGAGCTGGTTCCGCTCCCAATCATAAAGTGGGCAAGCAGAACCTTCCAGAACGAGGATCCGACTGCTTCAACGTTGGGGCGATGGGAAACGAAGAATACAGACGCCGTCAGAAGATACCCTCCACCTAGCAGACCTCCACAGATCAGAGACAAGACCCGCGGCGATAGTTGCCGACACAAGTAGCCGCCGACTGGAGACATGAGATATGCCGAAAGCATTGCAACTGTAATGACAGCATTGAGCTGAGCCTGCGTGTACCCGATGTCTAGAATCAGCCGTGGACCGTAGATAGGGATTGTCGACATGCATCCGGCGATAAGACTTGGGTATGTCAGTATGTGCTGGAGCATGTATTGGGATGAGGGGGCTTACGAGTTGAGTATTGAACAGGTAAAGCTCACGGTCTGAAGAAGTTGGTTGGAAGCCATGACGGGTGAAATGACAGCGACGATGCCTCCCAGTTCTTCTCCAATTCCTAGTCTGAGCATTCGGCAAATAAGTAAGTCCTAGTTGAGTAGGGATAGAAAGTAGATAACACTCGCCGGTCATTTAAAGGATGTAGCAGTAATTGGGTTAGCACATCAATCTCGCTGGCGCGTAAACTTGAGAAAACGGCAGTTCAGCAACAGTCAGCACGAGCCAGCTATCGTAAGAGTGCGGAATATCTCACTCGCCTCACCTATTCCAAAAATCCTCTTTACCAAAATCGGCGTGTTTCGTGTCATGGTCTTGTGCTTCGTCTTGCCTAATCCAGTCATCGGGTCCGGAGGACCAGGGCGTGGCCCGATTCCGTAGGCCAGGTACAGGAGCGGAGAAGCTTGGAGACAGGTAGAGATATCTTTGAGAGCTAAGGATGGCAAACAATGATCAACGTGTCCAATGTTGAGTGGCAAAACGGAATCACTGTCGATTCCGTTCCCTTGTCGAGACTCATTGAAAGAGCCGGCATGTGCTACGCGATACTATCAACATTGTGCAATTATGTCGGAAGATCTGACTTTAGAGAAATCTATTATCATCGTAGGACACCCCTACAGCTGCCCAGTTCAGTTACCGATGTCTCCTGTTGGACAAGATCAACCAAGCCATCAAAACACAGACGATGGACATTCCTACTCCCAGGGCACAGATTATGGCCCACGATGTATAGCATAGAGCGCCAACACAGAATCCGGCCACTTGACCGCCCCTCTCCATTCCAGACTGGTAAGCGACCGAATAAAGGTAACCGAATGCCCCAATTCCCAATGCCGGTGCCAGGGATATTATGCCCCAGGCAAGGGGAAACTGTGCTGTTCCCCAGATCGAGAGCGTGACTGGGAGAAGAGACAGGCTGCTAGCGTAGCTTAGACCAACCGAAGCAGACGTCAGAGATATGGCTTTGGGGAACCTGGCCACCAGCGTTCCCAGTGTCAAGAAGCCGAGGACATCAACTGCTGCCGGAGCTAGAAATAGGACGAAGGGAGAGGAGACCAAATTGTACTTTTGCTCTTCGGCCGTCGAGCTACTTTCCCTCTGGAGGCAATCTGATAGAGCACCAGCGCTTAACCGTGCAACAGTTGACACGATGGCGAGAAGAGCAACATGGCGCGATATTTGATTCGCAACAGAGTCAGTGCCTGTTATGGATTGGAGAAGTGTCCCTAGCTGTAATGAGCGCGCACAACATGTCAGTTTTGTTCCACTCTTCAGCATATGAATCTTTGCGAGGCGGCTCACATTCAAGTTGTACACCTCAGTCGGGCCTACGATGAGAAGGTTGGCGACCGAAAGCCACCATAGCAAGGGGTCCTTCAGCAATGCTGTGGAGGAGCAAGTGCCCCGGTCTGGTGCCGGCATGTTTTCTTCCAGCTGCTGCGGTTCAATAGCTCCATAGCTCGCAGTTTGCCTCTCCTCAGAGTACTGGAGATGCCCTCGAATGTCCAACGCTTCATTGGGGGGCTTCAGACCCCAAGCTCCTAGCATTCCGGTGGAAAACAGCGCGATGGCGAGAAATGCAGAGAAACTGGCCAAGTCTATGTCCTTGTTGGGAAGACAAAAGAGCCGAACTGCCACTTGGCTCTCGAGTATCCCGCTGAGACCGAAACAAGCGATCGGCACAGCGCTCAGAAACCCCTTGTAAGGTGACTTCTCAAGCGTCTCCGTGCACGCAATGATTGAACTCATCAGAACAGAACTCGTAGCAGCGCCGATACCTGTATACGCTAGCAACAGAGTGAGAAATGCTGGCCTTGAATGGTCAAGAGTAGATGTGTGGTGGGTTGTGAACATTGATGCAATCGTGAGGTAGCTGGTCCCAAACAAGATACCGGCAATGAAGGAGAGCAGACGTGGCGATGTGAGCTGGCAGATGCGTCCCCATACAGGAATCAAGATGTACAGAGACATCATGGCTATAGTTGAGATGGTGTTGACATGGTATTGATCCAGATGCAAGTCTCGGATAAAACGAGGTCCATACAAGGAGTAGACATTAAGACTACCTCCTAGTAAGCTGGAAGAGGTGTCAAAATATGTCATTCAGATCTCAGGTTCGCCAACTTACGTGTTCAGAATGCAGCAAGAGATGCATACGACACTCGACCGCGATTCAGGTTTTGCGATACGGGAGTTTGCTTCGCCATCAGTCCCAGTAGGACGCTGCCCTCTCATGGTGATGGTTGTCTGGATATCCAAACTGGTGAGTTGAGTTCGTGCCTCGTCAGTGCGGGAGCAGCACCACCATGACAAGACGCAGCCGCTTATTCTTCAAGACATTCCCTTATAGCAACACTATGCAGGACCGCCCATTCCGATCGGCTAGGTCTTGGTCGGGAGTCTCATGGGTGAATCAGTTACGTGACAGGGATGTAGCCGTCCACTAAACCAATTCAAGTGAACGGATCCGGGCGAGGGGCGGCCCACGACGCCAACGCTACAGCAATTGAGGGTGGATACTTAGATACACACAGCCAAAGTCGTTGGCCTTTGGCCATGCTAGAGCCGGAGAGCCTATGTAGTACGGAAACTATACACTATCTCCAGGCAGTTACTCAGTTTCCTGTCAAGTCTTTCGGTTCATTTTGCAATCAGATAAACTTCCTCGGCAGAAGATGGAGAGTCTCATCAGCCATGGTGTCATTCCAGCCTCCAAGGTGCTCAGATGTGTCGAGATGCATGTCACCGGCGAGCCTGCCCGGATCGTCTACCATGGGTACCCTCATCTTTCCGGGACTCTTCTCGAGCAGCGAGAGCAAGCAATCAGAGAGCATGATGACTACCGGAAGAGGCTCTTGCTCGAGCCTCGTGGACACAAGGACATGTACGGCGCGATTCTCCGCCGTGATACCGAGTTGATCAGATCCGGAGACGCCCACATCGGAGTCCTTTTCTGCCATAGCTATGGGTACTCCCCTATGTGTGGCCATGCGACCATTGCAGTTGCAAGATTTCTCGTTGACACGCAAGACACTTCCATCTTTCCGAACAGACACAAGTTGACTGTCGATGAAAACGAAAAGGCTGTCCATATCAAGCTGCATGCTCCATGTGGCGTCGTGACAGTCATTGTACCGATAACCGACGACTCTCGATGCGATCAAAGTCGCCCTATTCGATTCCTATCAACTCCAGCGTACCCAGTCTGTCTCGGCCTGGAAGTGCCCATCCCTGCTCACTGTCGCTGGCCACAACTTGGAGAGAGGTCCTCGGTTGTGTTGGACATCGGCTACGGAGGTGCCTACTTCCTCGTCATCGACTTGAGAGAACTCGGATTTGGTGAGGGCTTGAAGGGCATCAGCCTGGATGACGCTGTTTCATGTGTCAAGAAAATTGGCGATGCCTTTGGCTCCAACGAAGCAATCATAGACCAGTCTGGAATGCCGGCACACATGGCGCGTGTGGCCTACTACGCGGTTCTTTTAGAAGATGCTTCAACTGGAGTTCGCCCCGCCGGCATTCTTGAGACAGGATCAGGCATGTGCATATTTGGAGATGGCCAGGTCGACAGGTCTCCAACGGGGTCCGGAACGAGTGCTCGGATGGCATTGGCCTACGCAAGGGGTGCAAGGGGTGTCGGGCAGGCTTGTGCATACAACTCGCTCACGTCAAATCACTTTGAATCGGGTGCTTTCACAGCAACAATCATCAAGGAGGTTCCATGGAACGGACCAAATGGGTTTGACAAGGCAGTGGTTGTGGAGGTTGGCGGGCAGGCGTTTTACACCGGCTTTTCTACCTACTTTGTCGAGAACGGAGACAAAATAGGGGACAACGGGTTTCTATTCAAGGAGTTTACAGTCAAGAAACCCTCCTAGGTACAGAATAGCAGATACGTCAAAGCTATAATAGGATCCGCCAATGTCTCAACCATGCAACCATTCAGTAAGGTGCCAAGATGCAGCTGCAGGATCATCTCCCGGCACCATATGCCCGGCGTTCTCAAAGGTTATGAACTTGAGGTTTGTGGAATTCTTGACAGCTCCACGAGACACCCCATGGATAGGATTAGCCAGAGTCCATTCCCTCCATTCTTGTTGTCTGTAGTCGACCTGGCCTCTCCAGGGGACTTTGTCAAACACCCGAATCTGGCCAGGAGTCAAGCTATGCAGTTGAAAGTTAGACCCTAGGACATGTTTGAGGAAGCCAAGAGGTGTGGGTGCACATAAAATGGTTACAACTCACGTCAGGGCATCCAAGTGGCCGTTCAGTACCAGAACTCTGACTTTTCCCGAGTCTAGAAGCGCGCTGAGCTTCAAAATGACGGATTGACCAAATGCACCACTCTCCATGAACGCATAGGCGATTTTGGTGTTTACAGGCGTCCAATCACGACCTCTCACGCCGAGGGCTGACTGAACAGCTGGGTCGTTGAAGAAGTTGACGGAAGATGCCCAAGCACTAATGCATAGCTCTTCTGGGTTCTTACACGGCTGTGCAACTGACAAGGTCATGGTCAGAGTAATTGGACGGGCGAAGAGGCTCAAGTCAAAACTTACTATTGTACATGTTGCGGTCTCCGAGAGGTATCTGGTCGGCAATCTCGCGTGCGCAGTAGTTTGAAGCGTCTTTGCACACGGCAACTTTACCTGTGGTCTCACAAAGAGACCCATAGTACTCGCAAGTAGGACCCCGTTCTTGAATCAGGGAGCAAATCGACGCGTTGAAACCGTACCCGAGCTTCGTCATGGCACCGCTCGGTGTGCATCCAAACTCATAGTTGGATGTTGAGAGATCCCCGCCCATAGTGCCAACCACAGCATTGACGAGAATGATGGATCCGAGCGGATTGGGAACTCCTAGAGGAGATTGCACTTCAGCCAGGTCGAGAAGTTGATGCATGAATGCAGGAGCCCATCGTCCTCCGTAAGACTCTGCAGCGATGTGCAGCTCATTCTTGGACAAACCGGGGAACTCTTTGTGAGTAAACAGGTGCATAAACTCGACAAAGTCTTTGGTCGCCTGTTCCAAAGTTACGACTTGATGCCTTTCTTCCAGGCTTGCCAAGGAGAAACCGGCCCCTGCAGGTTGACTATCGAAAGCGGCGTTAAATCTGAATCTTGCGAGTAGCTTTCAAACTCTCACATACTCTAGAATCAACAAATTGGCGTTTCGAGCCCAGTGATGAGGGTTGTGAAAGGTTGAGTTGTCAGTAGTATTAACCCAGCAGGGGCCGACTTCGCTGATGGCAGCGAAAGTGCTGGCAGCTCCTGGTCCGCTGAGAGTTTTTTTCAGTGTCATTCCCAATTCTTGTGAGATTGTTTTCATGACTTACCCGCTGAGCCAAACGATGAGCGGATCATTCGCGGGTTCCGATGCACTCTCAAACAACCCTTTCCATCCAAGATTAGTCGGGCCATGATGCTTATTGCAGAGTTGGATCATACAATAAAAGAGCTCCTTTTTGTTTGAAATCTCGATTGAGCCGGCGTGGTTCCGAACACCGGCAGGACAAAACGAGGCATCTACTTCATGTCGGAGGATCGAGTTGCTCTGGCTTGATGGCTGAAACGACTTTTGCGACGCCTGCAAGACTGTCTGCGCAGTGAGACCGAAGAGGGGGAGTCGAACCATGTCGACTCTGATGTTGTATCTGGTGCTACATAACTTGTGATTCCTTTGTCTGAAATACTCAAAGTTATATCCGGCAGAGTTACAGTAGTAGCTCCTGGGGCAAGATCCTAGACATACCGGGGGGATCCGTTGACCAGATCTGGTAAGACTCGGCGCTGAGCATGGTCCCAGCCGAGGCATGGATGATGTCGTCAAGTCAATCTATCACAGCATACAATCTTTTCTACTTTCTACTCCACGCAGTTGATTTCACAATGATAAACCACACACTTCGCTTCACATCAATGACATGACAGCCCAATTTTGACGCAGCAAGTCGATTATCATGTTCTAGCCGAGTGAGTGGCCTTCCCCAGTTCTGGCTGCCACATTCGTCAACCCAACCGTGGAGCCTGGTTCATCGCAATCTCTAAATATTAAGCAGAAATAACAGAGAGTCCACCCTTTATCCACTGATCTACAAGATAGAGGGCAGCCTCGGGAGCGTCCGCATTCACGGTATGCCCTGATTCATCAATCTCGGCGAACCAGAGTTTGTCGTAGCCTTTCAGATATCCTCCCTTTGTTAAGGAATTGTCTCCCTTGAGGCGATAGAACCAGTCTTTGTGTGGAGCTGCTCGGAAGGCAGCTTGTCCAAACCATTTAAAGGCACTCGCAGCTCTCTCCGTCCCTATAAGAGGTCTGTGATGATGGGTACCGTCAGCATATAAACCTGACATGTTGGATCGCGTTCCACTCACGTGTCCGGATCGTACCGACCACTGACTATCAGGATTCGCAAGCGCGTTTCATCGAGCAGATATGTGTACCGAGTCAAGTTGGATCGCATGAGCGTGTCCCCAAACTGATGGTTTATACTCATGTCAACACCAATCAACTCAATTGGGTCCTTTTCTCTCAGGCCTAGAACTCGTTGAATCGCGGGGTTGTTCATGTATTTCTCGACGGCTCCGGACAGTGGAGAGCACGTCGGAAAGCTCTCGCATGGTTTCTTAACTACCAGCAGTGTTAGAGACCGAGACACAGAAGGGTTCCATGCTTACTATTGACGAGATTATGCTTTGGAGGGTACCAAGCCGCCATAATAGGACCACAAGCCTCCATTGCCTTGTCACAGCTCTCCTTGGTCTCGGCAAGGCGGCACTGAAGTACCTCGGTCTCGCATTGCGGCACGGCTGCACCTATACTCGCACATTCCGTGACATTTAAATACACCTCTTCTCCGGCACATAGCGTATCATAGTACGAAGGTGCCGAGAAGCCCATGTCGATAAAGGGGCTGATCATCACGGTGCTTTTCACGTCCACGGGCACGTGAGGGCCTCCGAGATTGTCGTCGAGAAGAAAGGCTGTCACGACAGGAGCCAGGAAGCCACCCCAGGATTCTCCGATGACGTGAAACTCACGATTGCCGAGTTCAGGAAATATCTCTGTAGAAAACTTGTGGAGAAAGACCTTGACGTCTGAAGCGACCTCGTGAGCAGTTGTCGGCTGAAAATCCACACCTTCAGGGGTCTTGGAAAAGCCGCTACCCGCAACTTCACTTTTCAAATCGTTAGTCAAAAAGCCAGGTTTAACCCTGCAGGTGCACTCTGAACTTACTCGACAAAAATTACATTGTAGTACCGAGTCCAGGAGAAGGGGTTGAATGTTGTGTCGTTGCCGTGCTTGTTGATGAGGCAGGGGCCTACACCAGTGAGCATGGGCTGGGCTGAGGCTTCAGCAGGGCCTCTTGAAAGATGGTCAGTCATGTGTCTACACCTATTTTTCTCTGGAATTCCAAAGACCTCTTACCCTGTTAAATAGAGAATAGTCGGTGCTCGTTCCGGATATCTCTGGCTTTCAAAGTACCCTGGATTTCATGAGCTTCAGCCTCGACCAAGAATCAAAGCAGGGCATCCGATCAAACGTACAGTAGAAGAGGCTATTTCCATTAGTCACTGGAACTTTGCCCGTCCACTGCCGACTGCGGGCATCGCAAAGGCTGTCGTTCTGCTGGACTTTGGTGAACTGGGTTGTTGGCGACAGGAAAAGCTGGTCCTCGACAGGCGCCTGACGCTGGGGCCAAACCGCGTCCTGGTTGAATCTGGTTGCAGGTATCAATGCAGCTGACACAGTGCCAAGGGCGACTTGGATGGAAAAGGCGATTTTACAAAGGGACCACATTCTGATTGAGAAATTGTGTGACCTCTGGTGTGGTTGGTTTGAGAAGGGTTGTATAACAGTATTTGAGAGCATGCCTGCCTCCTACCCTACCCTACAGACCTAGTCATGATTGATAAGAACCCCTGGCCACCTCTTCCGCGCACTGCATTGGGAATAGAGCGGGTCCACCGTACGCCTAGTTGCAAGCCGGCTGGCACGGGCTAGGATCTCGGTCTTACACGCTTGGTTGGAACTTGACTGGATTTAAACCCTTGGCTTGACTTCATTGACTGCCCAAGCTGATCACTGCAGCTCATTCAAACCATGAAAGCCGTTCATCTCATAGCTGTCATCTGGCTCGCATGCTGCAGTCCCTTTGGCGTGCGAGGCGAATACGTTACAATCCCCTCTACCTTGTCGCCCAACTACGCTATTCGCGCCAAGGATCTTACTGGCCAAGTGTGTGACTCGGGGTCTAACAACACCGTTGGTTGGGCTGACCTAGGCCCCCATCACCTGTTCTACTGTAAGTCCCGCTCTGGCAGGCCCTGTATGCACTATCGGTAACCCATGTGAAGGGTTTCATCAGGCCCGAACCCAACACTTGAGCAAACCTCTCCTACTCTGGCTACAAGGAGGCCCCGGAAACTCTGGATTCTTTGGCAACTTTCTCGAACATGGTCCTTGCCGCCTTGAGGGAAACCCAGCTGAGGCCGTTCGCCATGAGCACCCCTGGACAGAGCTTTTCAATGTCATATTCGTCGATCAGCCCGTCAATGTCGGCTTCTCGTACTCCGATGACAGCAGCGGTGTAAACCGTGCAGAAGATGCGGCTATTGAGCTGGTCGATTTCATGCGTGTTTTCTACCAAGGATACCCAGACATGAGAGACGTGCCTCTGTTCATCGCCGGAGAGTCATACGGTGGACGTTATGTGCCCATGACAGCGGCAGCCTTGATTGAGTTCAACAAGTTCCAGCCTCGACCAGGGGATGCTATCCCGCTCAAGGGCATCATGGTCGGTAACGGATATACTTCTCCGACAGACGTCTATTCTTCAGGCTACGAACTGGGCTGCTTTCCATTCAAGGGCTTTCGGAACTACTTTAATTCTTCCGAATGCGCCCGCTTTTCCACCACTCTACCAGAATGCCTTGACCTCCTCCGAGCCTGTGAAGCTCTACCGGGCAGTGCCATCTGTTATCGGTCGGCCGAGTTCTGCCAGGGCGAGTTCAAGTTCGAGAAGCTCCGCCCTCAGCACTCTTGGGACCGCCGTAAATACTGCGATCCACCCGAGAAGTGTATAGAGACTTCCCGGGCAGTCACAGCCTGGATGAATACGCCAGAGATCTGGGAACTGCTTGAGATCGAATCACAGACCAACAAGGTTCGGCCTGTTGGGGTGGCCAATGGCACTGTCAGCGAGCAATTTCTCCAATCCGGCGATCTTGGGGAATCGACGGTCACTGCTCTCGAGAGAATTCTACGATACGCCTCTGAGGAGAGGACTCGCGGCTCCGGTCGAGATATTGACGTTCTGTACTATAACGGCGTGACGGATATCCTGTGCACTTCTGTGGGAAATCGAAGGATGCTAGAGAACCTGAGGTGGCCCGGCGAAGGCCTCTATCGTGCGAGCCCTTGGGAAACTCTCTCGTGGAAGACAGTGGAAGGGGTCTCTGCCGGCCAACTAAAGCGCGCCGACGGGTTGTGGTACGCGGAGCTCGAGGATGCTGGGCACTTGGTAAGTTGTTGCAAGATCTCTTCCGCCAGACGGCTCCTACTAACTGCTATACTCTCTCAACTAGGTTCCGACTGACCAGCCTATTGTGATTCTCAACCTCCTCTCGTCATGGCTGGGGAAAAGCCTTTTCTCAGAGCGAGTCAGTAACAATGATGAGCTATAGAAGTACCTGTAGTAGTTGTAAATGTTTAGATGTTTATCAAAGAACGGTTCGCGACCTTGCCTACAGCCAATTTAACATGCCCCTTTAGCGTCGGCCATCCAGGGGCTAATTCAGGGCCTAATCCAACAAGACCAGCCAGTACTCGCATACCCATCACCAGAGCTACATCCGTCAAACAAACAAGATATCAACCCCCATCTTCCGCAACTACATTTCAATCCCCTTCATTCTTCTTGTCAAACAGGCGCATCACTCCAACATTACCGTACGCCGCTGCCAGATCCAAACTGGTCCGCCCATCAGCATCCTCCAGTAGCGGATCAACTCCCCTATCCATAATGCCCTTGAAGACGCCATCATATTCTACCGCTACCCCGTGCAGCACCGTTCTCCCCTCGTCATCCCTCACCAGCCAGTCAACTCCCATCTCGTCCAGCATCTCCAACACCGCACTCTCTTGCCCAAAGACAAAGCCTGTAGAATCGAGGGAAAACGCTGGTGTTTGCCCTGCCTTGTTGCGAGCATTTACATCCAGCCCAAACTCCACAAACCTTTTGAAGAGACGCCGGCCAGTGTCCAAATGGCTTGAAGAAGACAACAAACCAGAGGCGAGAAAGTGAAGAGGGCCGTTCCCATCACCATCTGTAGCTGTTACGTCCATCCCCTGCGCGATGAGGTAGTCCAGCCATTCGTCACTTTGCGGCCCAAGGATTCCCTGCGAGAGTGCTGCCAAGCGATAATGCATTGGGTGGTAACCGTAAGTGTCGGGTTGGTTGATGAGCGCCGGAACAACGTCGCCGAGCTCTTGCAGCTGCTTCATCATCACTATGGATGAGTGATGGCTAAGGCAATGATGTAGGCAGTTCCTGCCGTAGTCATCTAGGACAGTTGGGTCCGCTCCTCTATCCAACAGAGCCTTCAGAACTAGCTTGTAATAGAGGGGTGACGCAGCTGCCCCTCCCCGACAAGCAGCCAACAGGGGGGTTTGGCCAGATGCGTTTCGACGCTCCAGGTCAAGTCCTGGCAGGTTGAGAATAGGCTCGTAAACGCCATGATCTGCTAGTATCTGGTGGAAAACCAGCCTATCGGCCAGGGTAGCCGGCACAAGTTCATCCTCGCTGTCCTCGAGGAATGGTATCTTCTCAGACTCTTTGTCCTGCGTTCTCCATCTCTTATTCGCCACATTTACCGGTAATGAGGGTCTTTTGGACCTGTCTCTGAAATCATTCTGGATCAGGAATGTGTCGTAAGGGCTCACACCTGCCTCCAGGAGAGCTTCCATCATCTCCCTGGCACGCATTTCGCCGACGTCGGAGTCTTCAGCCGTCCTTGTCAATGGCGGTACAAAACTCGCGACGTACAAAGGATGTCCCTGGCGAGCTATCCGAGCCTCGGGCGAGCTGGGATCCAATCCTCTTACATCGTTCAAGCACAAGTTCCAGCACTTGACGAGGGCGGACGTCTTTTCAGAAGATAGAAGTGCCTTCAAAACATCCAGGTCCTTGTTCCTAGCTGCAGATGAGATGGCATTTGGGCTGACTTCCACACCATGGTTGACCAAGAGGCGAACAAGCTCTTGGCTATGGGCTGCTTTCTCAAGACACCCTTCGCCCGCCGAATCGACCGCATTGACATCGGCGCCGAGTTCAATTAGAGTCTTTACCGCAGCTACAGGGAACTTGTTGTACCTTACAAGGGCCCAGTGGAGCGGTGTGTTGCCCTTGCGGTCGCGGGCTTCCAGGTCGGCCCCCTTGGACACCAGGTATGGCATTGCCTGAGCAACTTGCCACCAGGAACCACCCTGAGCAACAGCATGGAGGGCACGTGTTCCGGTGCGGTTCATGGAGCTGGGCGCATTGATGTCGACACCCTTCTTCTCAACCAAGACCCGCAACACATCCATGTTGGGAGCGGCACGCGCACACGCCGTGATAGCCAAGGGATCGAATAGGTCAGCCCCAGGACGGCCCTCTTGTTCTTGACGCCATTCGGGATCGTCGAACCGCAATGCCTCCTCTGATGAACAGCAACCGTCAACCAGCTGGGCAAATCCAAGTTTAACAAATTCCTGCAGAATGGATGGTCCAGGGGGGTTGGCCGAGATGAAATCGGCACCAGCCTCGTGGAGTTTGAGAATCAGTGAGTATTCGCGGTCACTGAGGAGTTCCTCAATCGTCTCCCACGTCACCTCCTTGGAGCATGGCAAGATTGCCTCGCCGAGTAATTTCGTGTCCATCTGACGCCGAGCCCTACTCATGGTGACGGCGACTTTGATGGGCTCCGGCAGTTCTGGACCCTCAATTTCTTCGTGGCACGTCCAGAGGAGGTTGACGACGTAGTCGTCCCATGCGCGTGCCGCAAACCGCATGGCACTATACAACGCCGAGTGATCCCAGTGGCTATCGTCGTACATGTTTGCGCCCGCCGCCAGCAAGGTCTTGACGATTTCATCATACCGTACAATACCAAGCTCTGGATCAAATACCTCCGAAGGGGGGTACCGAGAGGGCGATCTCGGTCGTGGGCGGTTGGTGTCTTCAATCGTAAAAGCCACAGCAGTTGGACAGTTACGGTTGTCATTGTCGAATCGACTATGTATGGACAACGGATTTGAATATCCTCCAGAAGCTCTCGGTGAATCGTCTTGTCTCCAAAGGGCGTTCTCTTGCTTGAAAAAGACACACTGAAGCACTGGGGGGTACCAAGGCTCCGCATCCTCTAACAATGATGCATCGAACGTTGGGTTGACATCGGCCCCTGCTTCGAGCAGCAGCGAGACCGATTCAATTCGTCCAGAGCGACTCGCGTAGTGAAGAGGCGTGAGTTGGCTTATGTCCTTTGCGTTTACCGCCTTCAGCATGACTTCAGGATCCAAATCCTTCATGCGCTCCAGCACCAAACCGAGCGTATTACTCAATCTGCAGCGTGAGGCGATTGACAGAACATTGAGGCCTTGGTTAGTCGAGGCAAAGGGGTCCGCTCCAGCCCTCATCAACCGATCGACAACATAGTCTGACGTGGAGGCAGCGAGGTGGATGGGCCGCACCCCTTGCATGTCTTTGGCGTTGGGGTCGGATGAGTGGTCCAGAAACCATTCGAAGCACCTGGACACAT